CTCCTGGCACCGGATCTCGGCTCGGTAACGGGTGAGCCAGTCCATGCCCAAAATCACGTCAACGTCTCGCATATCAATTATATAGACGTCGGCCTCCAGAACTCGACCGCCAATACAGATGGGAAGATTGCGAACAACTGAATCAGAGATGATAATTTTTCCCGAGGCTAGACTAACCTCGAGAGGATCACAAGAATGCACGGTGCTAATAGATAAAGCCTCCAATCAACAAGAAGAAATAAAAGAATGGGTAGCACCGGTATCACATAAAGCAAAGACAGGCACATGGGACATCGAAAGCATTCCGGACATGGTACCTGCATTACGAGCGGCCTCGTCGTGGGTGATGGTATAGACACGGGCCTGACCCCCAGCCCTCTGCTGGAACGGTGGGGGCTGCTGATGCTGCTGATGAGGTGGCGGTGGGAGAAACTGCTGCTGACGCTGCTGGGGAAGGGCCTGCTGGTGCTGCTGTCTCTTCGGTTCGGGGCAGACACTGGCATAATGACCCGGGCGGTTGCAATTGTAACAAGCTCGCTGGTCTGCCAAGAACTCTCCGGTGTGGAACCTGCCGCATTTAGGGCACCTCGGCTGTTGACCCTGAATGGGTCGGTCGTCACGTCTGCCAAAATTTCCCTTCTTCTACTTTTTCTTGTTCTGATAATCGGATTTCCTCTTGCCCGAGCTAGAGCCGGGCGACAAAGATGAGATGGGCTGAGCGTACTGGGCAACGGTCTGAGGAGGCTGGGAGGCATGATAATAAGAAGGAACTGGAGCCAACGGAATAAGACAGCTCTCGACCTCCTGAGCCCTACTCACGGTATCTGTATAAGACATCTGTTCGTGACTTCCCACCAGCTCACGGATCCTCTGGTCGAGTCCTTTGAGGAACTTGCGGGCCTTCTTGGCATCGGTGTTCACGGCGTCACCTGCAAAAAGGCACATGCAGGTGAAGGTACGGACATACTCATCCACCGTGGAACTGCCCTGCTGCAAGTGGTAGAACTCATGCTCCATTCTGTCCCAAAAGCTCTTGGGGAGAAACTTTCTACGCACCATCATCTTTATTTGCTCCCAAGTGAGAGCATGAAGCTCTGCCTCTGGCCTCCGGGCCCAGTGGTCAATCCACCAGTCGGAGGCGTCCTCTTTCATCTGATAAGCTGCAAGGGATACCCGCTGACGGTCAGGGAGGGGAAGTACAGTGAAGATCTTGTCCAGTTCTTTGATCCACTCCAGCACCGCTGTGGGGTTCTCAGTCCCCGCAAAGTTTGGTGCATTCATCCTCTTGAACTGAATGATAAGCTGAGTAAGGTCCATGGCCGGAGGGGGCCTAGTGCTGACGAGGCGGAGAAGGTTTCGAAGATGGCTGACGATTACGGTTGTTGCGAGTATTCATACTTCTACATTGAATAATCTGCACAAGGTTAGCACAAAAACAAACAAAATAATCAATACTTACTGAAGTCTAGAGTTCGCCAAATAAACACTAGAGTTCGATTAAATCAAGGTGGATAGATCCTAAGCCCCAAATCACGAGTTCGTCACGAGTAGTTTCATTGCTACAAGTGCATCATTTACATAACAAGTATTTTCATTAATACTTAAACAAAACATACCTTAAGCAGCGTGGAGTGACGGAGACAAGTGGTCATAACACAAGGTCTAAACACATATACTCACATATAAACCAGTCTACAGAAACGCAGACTGGCTCTAATACCAAACTGTAACGCCCCACTTTGATTTTAAAGAAATTCAGGACTTTCTAAAAACCAGTATAAAATTTTTCGAACTCATTTTCGAAAACATGGGCGTTATACAACATTTAACATCAACCAAGTCGTATCTGGTTGTTCACATGGTTTTCATTAACTTTCTAAAATTCAATCCCACATGATTATTAGCTAAACCACATAGCATACGTAATCGAAAACACATGATATTCACTAAATAACTCTCATACGAATTTCAAACAAAGGGTCCAAAAATCCCGACACGAACAAGTTTGAAAACAGTTCAACATGTCTCAAAGACCAAACTTTATTCATAAAGGAAGCGAAATCATAAACATAATAATCATGACCAACCCACTCGTCTTTTCCCCGTCATCCGGTACCTGCTTAACCTACATCCGTGAAGAACAGGTGGGAATGAGCACAAATGATAAAGTAGTGCTCACTACTA